ATCTCTTCCATCCTCAGGAGCTGTTTTTACTTTATCCGTGAGTGCTAAGGCCAGACATCTTGGTGCTGATGGGGCCTACGGCGTGGCTCCCTCGGCTAGCTCTATTTTAGAGCGTTCCTGTAGTGTACCCAAGCCTGAGAACACCTCTGGAAACGATTTTCTCCTGCTTGAACTGCTGCTGCTTGTTGTAGTAACTGTAAGCTCTGGATGGCTGGAAGGCCCAGTAGTGGTGTTACTAAGTCTTTAAGGACAGATGTATGTTGCTCTGCCATCCTTCTGTCCCTTTTAAGGCGTGCTCAGTGGCTGGTTGTTGGGCCCACTGGTTTTCCTTTATGTTTTCTGTAGTTTGCCGTCTCTGGCTTTTGAATACATGGACTCTGGTATGCCTGCGACTGCTGCCCCTGTGTCTAACTTGAAGTCAACAACTCTTCCATTCATCTGTATATCCTGCCTCCACACTTCCTGTTTCCCTCTATGGATAGCACCCACAAATGCACCTTCCTCCATCTGATGCGTTTCTTCGATAGTCTCCACTCTTTGTCCTGCTCTACACGTTGCAGCAAAATGTCCTCTCCTTTTACATTTTCTACACTCAGCTTCTCTGGCAGGACACTGTTTCCATGCATGCTGAGGGCTCCTCCCACATCTCCTGCATGTTTCTGCTCTCTGTGTTGTTATTTTGGCTCTGCAACCAGCCAAGTTATGTTCTTTAGCCACAGCCTTTTCCCCGGCTGTTGCATCTTCACGTCTTCATTTTGTCGTGTCAGAGTTATTGTCTTTGCTAGGGTGAGATTTGGGTCTAACTGTAGTCTTTTGGACATTTAGCATCTCTGATCCCAACTACAATCCGATCTCTGATCATTTCTTCCAGTAGGACGCCGTACCGGCAGCGTTCAGCAAGCTTACGAACATCTGTGATGAAGTTTTCCACCTGGCTGCTGGTGTCTGCTATGAAATCTGGGCCCTTTCATAAATGACATTATGTTTGCCGATAAAATGCTCACCCAGAGCTCTGCACACGTCTGCATATTTCCTCCTTTCATTGTCGCCCATCAGCGAGTTGACTTGATGCTGATCCGGCTTCTCGGATAATCCTGATGCTACTCTAAACCGCTCAAAGCGTCGAAGCCACTGAGTCCCACCGCTCGGCTCATCAAAGTTAAAACTTCCCGGCGGCAGCATCGTAACTGCCTGGTCCATCTTTTCTCCGATGGGGAAGCTGCGTGCTAGCAGGCCCTTCTCTTACCAGCACGTTACGTCTGGTCCGCTGTCGAGCTTTCCCGTTCAGTCGCGCTGAAGCGCCAACTTCGGAATCTTCTCGCCAACTTCCGACACCGTGTATGATGATGTTTAGTGGCGTTTAGCTAATAAAGGACGACATGATGTACAGCATGAAGTTTAACAATGACCATGGAAAGTGTCAGCCGTGTGGAGACGGCTCAGACTGGGAAGCTGCTCAAGGTGAATCGCCAGCTAGAGATTCTAGCTGCGATCCTGGTGTTAGTGCGCAAGATGGGTGTGATCTTGGAGGAAGTCAGTTCATGGTATGGGCAAGGTTAATCCCCATTAATGGATGTGCCGAGAGACTGGAATGATCGGTTAACAACTGAAAGGCAGAGAGAATTATGTCTGCCTGACCCAAACAGTTCTTATCTGAATCTGGCGCCCTGGTAGCCTTGAGCTGAGAGGGAAAAAGTAGAGATGCTCCGATCACCTTATTTTGTTCCTGATCTGATTCTGAGTGTCTGTCGATACCCAGTCCTGTCCGATACTTTTCAGAAAAGCATTAAAATGAGAAGAAAACACATCCGAATGGTCCTTTAAGTTTGACTTTTATGTATTTAGGAAGTGCGCCTATGAAAAACTTGTTTATATTGTGAATATACGTAAAAGTAGCAGCGTTGCTCTTATTTCAAGTTCTTTACTCCCTCACCATGCAGCTGTGAGCCGTGTGTGACGGAGCAGGTAGGCGGAGCCTTCGGCAGGCAGGGTCACTTTTCTCACCTGTAGCTCCAGCGCGCGGTTCCGTGCTGCAGAACCCGAAGTTTTACAGTTTGTTGGGAATTTCTCTTTGTTCATTAGCGTACCTTTCTCTGTCAGCTGGCTCCGCCTTTCTGTCTGACTTCACTGTGACTGTCAGAGGTGAACTGGGGGTTAATGGAGATGTCGGAGGGGGTCCTGTAAATGGTAACCACATAGCACCTACTGAGGTTCTACGAGGTTCTTACAACACATACCACAGCTTATGTGTATGACACATTTACAGCGCAGCATGGGAGCTGCCCAGAGTGCTGCACAGGCTGGACCAAATCACGACCAATCAGAACACAGGATACGAATACAAGCAGATAAAACACGAGGACCACCAAGAACACAATAGAATAATAAAACGAGTCGTGGTCTAAAAGCCACATCATCACACTTAAAACTGCTGGGTTAAAAATAACCCAATTTGGGTTGTTTAGTAACCCAGGTGCTGGGTCCAAAAGGGACCGACCCAGTGCTGGGTTATTTTAACCTAGCAGGGTTGGGTTATGAGTTGGACCCAGCTTATTGGGTTATGCTTTCTACCCAGTCAATGGGTTCAAATGACCCAACTGTATAGTTAGGACTACCCACAACTGGGTTAAAAATAAAACCCAACTTCTGGGTTATTAAGTTACTAAAGCTCGGGTTAAAATGACCCAATTCTACATAAATACAATAAATAAAATACAAACTGAATAATTCAATAAAACAAAATGAACATGTCTCAGTCAAATCTTTATCATAAAAATTATGTTAATTTTCAAAATACAAAGATAACAAATAAAGCTGCATTTTCTACTTTCTCTAAACATGCGTTCATATTCAAACTGGTTTTGTAAATGACTACTAATTACATTTATTAATGACAAATATTAAACATTTCGTAACTTGTAATGTCTTAAACATGTTAAACAACTTTAATGGAAGAACTGTAGAGAAGTAAATGTCCATCAGCTCCCAACACTCACCTTAATGCGTTAGTCAGCAGAACATCAACCTTACATCATAGCAACATGAGCCCTCAGAGCTTCACAGCGTTAGATTCATGATGCAAAGATAAATGTCTGAATAAACCCCCAAATCTGTGCTCGTGGTTCTGGAGAGTTGACATCAACACAAACAATGTTTAAGAACAGACGGGTATTCCAGTTCCACTGATGATAAAAAATTCTTGGGAACATCGATGGTCTTCTGCAGCCATAAGGACATGTGGTGCTCCGCTGTGGTCCCATTCAGGTTCTTCACCAGACTGGTTCCAGTCTAAGTTGAGGGGGATAGAGGAAAGAAGAACAGATTTAGGCATAAAGGTTATGATTTCACAAACAGCTGTTGAAACATATTTGGAGTGGGCTGTGAATGATAACTGAAGTAAAAAATAACAGAACTTACAGGTTGGAAGTCAGCGAAGGCCTGCTGAACCTCTGCTGGGTCGGAACGCTCTCCTTCAACTTGTATGGTGCAGGCTGGAGAAGCACTGGCAGCAACAACAAAGCCACACCCAGCCATTTGACTGTAAAATTGAAATGTGTAACATTAGTCACATGACTGTAGCATAAAGGCCCTCTGCTGTTAGCCGGGATGCTACCACTGGTATGAAACAGCCAGAAGGCCTAGGAAGGCTGCTGCAGAGCCTGATGAGCTGCTACATCAGCATGAGGGTCTTTTTAGTGTTAGTTCTCAAGCTTTAGTCTTCATGCATTTTTATGTTGTGTATTTAGTGTTTTTGATTTCTCTGAAGCACTTTGGTCCATTTTATGCTGTTGTAAGGTGCTATGAACAGGCTAGAACAGGTGTTTTATGCAGGAATCAGGCGTGTCTCTGCTTAAACACACCTAGTTTGAATCTGCTGGTGATCAACAGACTTCTGCAGAGCCTGAGGAGCTGCTGAGCAGGTGGATCATCCTGAAATGGGGGTGTGTTGAGATCAGGTCAATAATTAAAACCTGCTGGGTAGCGGCCCTTGAGCATCAGGACTGCCCACCCCCGATATAAATAACATATTTAGGATGACTTGCTGGGCTACAGAACAGCCACAAGAAGCACAAAAACTTCACATCTTTCCTTGTGACCGTGTCAGCCCGACCAGTTAGGACCACATGCGAGCATTGACCCCTCACACTAGATGATCGTGCATGGCTGTAACACACTTGTTTGCAAGCGTTTGGGCTGCACGGTGGATGGTTGTAGGTTCAAATGTCAGCAGCGACCTTCCAGTGTGTTCTTGTTCATCCCGTGCATTTGTGGGGATATCATGCTTTCATCATGAATGACTGCAGTTAGCTTGTTATCTCCAAGTATGTTTGGATGCTTCTGCACAATGAGTAAACATTTGAGTGGTAAACAATCACCTGTAAGTCCAGATTCGGAGTGAAAGAGTCCAGAGAAATGAACTTATGATGTTTATAAAGATGATAAACTCAAACAACAGTGTGTTAAAACACCCTCTGACTCACTAAGTTAGTAATGTCTCTTTGTTCTGCTGACGCGCGTCTTTAACGTAAGTTATTCTTAAACGTGTTTTAAACAGGCACAGCGTCGGACCCCTCTTTTACTGACCATTCTCCCGCCCTCTGAGACGTTGACCAATGGTGGAACAAGGTGACAGTTTCGGTCTTGTGATTGGTCAGCACGAGGCCTGTTCTCAGCAGCTGATTAGTCAGATTGGTTGTCGCTCACGTGGCCCTGACGCTGGCCTATAAAGCACGGGCTCCTCGCTCGTGCGTACTGAGAGGAGCTAACAGTTATTATGTTTTTATCTTCTAAATCCTGGGATTTTACAGTTAGTAACGACTCCGTAACGTGTGCGTAGACAGACACGCGCGCAGACACCAGGAGAGGTGTGCCCGGACTGGTGCTGACGCACACTTCTGCGGGTGGCGGTGTTTTCTTCTCCAAAAGTGGATGTTAGCTCCTGCAGATAGCCTCCTCAGGCTAACTGTTTGTTTCTTGTGGTGAGTTTGAATTATTCATGACGTCACTCCGTCATTGGTGGAGGGACTCGGAGGGGCGGGGCTAGTCAAATAGGCCAAGTCAGGTGCGTTTTTGAGGCACACGTGCGTCAGATGGAGGAGTTACCATGTTTGTAAAAGCACATTAAAGCAGCGTGTCAGCTGACCCCAGGATGAAAACACAGGTTTAAAATCCTCCTTCACAGAGAGAGCTCAGGTTTAACAGTCGGACCAGGTCAGAAATAAAGCTCCGGGACCATAAATAACTCCAAGCTGCATGAGAGAGAAGGCTCTTCAGGCCAGATCTGAGCTGCACCAGTGAAGAAGACGAGCACGGGCAGAGGGAGTGCATTCCACAGTTTGGGTGCAGCGTAAGCAAATGCACGCTCTTCCAGCCTTACAGCTCATTTTACAGAGGAGTTGTTGATCAGCAGACCTCAGTAACCTGGAGGGGGCTAGGGTGAGAGCAGCTCTGTCAGGCAGAGGGGAGCAAGACCATGCAGAGCTTTAAAAGCAAACATTACATAATAAACCACCTGGTAGTGCACAGGGAGCCAGTGTAGGTGAGCTAGAACAGGTGTGATATGACCTCGTCAGAAACCTGGCTGCAGCATTCTGGACTCTGCTAGCGGCCGAGGGTGGAAGCATTAACGCCAATGAGAACAGAGTCTAGAGGTGATGAATGCATGAATGACTGATTCCAGGTGCAGGGGCGTGTTAGGCAGCAAAAAAACAGATGTATTGCTTGCATGATGTCACAGCACATGATCAGACGGGTTTCTGACCAATCATACATCGTTTCTGAACGGGACGAACTCCGGAAAACTACTTTAAAGCTGCAATCCAGAGCTGTGTTGTGGTTTATTTACACTGGCCTGCACACGTAGAGCTCTTTTTTTCACCTCAGTTTATTTATAAAGCGCCAAGTCAGGACCAGAGTCGTCTCAAGGACCTGCACACGGTAAACATTCCAATACAGGTCAGGTCATTAAGCCAATCAGTAACAAGTTTCCTACATAAGGAACCCAGCAGGTTGCATCGAGTCACCGGTTGTTTCTCGGCGCCAAGGAACAACGCCTTGATGTCTTGGCCCCGCCCCGGTTGCCTAGAAGATGCATCATCGGGAGCCACCAAGGCGTGTTCCAATGTTCATGTTCTACCGAGGCGTGTGTTCTCCGTTTGTTAGCCGTTTAGCTAGCTGAGCGAGGATACACGGGAGGTGTCTTGTAGCCTAGCCTTGGTCAAAAACTACCCAGAAAACACTGCGGTATTTTCAAAAGGACGGCGAATCAGAAGCCAGCAGCTACTTCGGGGCAAAGTTCAAGTTTAAAAGTAAGTTTATTTTAGATCTAAAGAAGTTATCCGTGGTTGGTTAGTAGCTTAGTAGCTGCAGCTTCGGTGGCTAGCAGGTAGTAACTCACTTACATGTATAATAATAAACATACACGATTTAAACAGTAAAAGGCTCGTTATATATTTATGTTGAAACTAATACGTATTAAATATAACATTATGTCATGTGACGTTACGTGACCGCCGTGGAAGCCGCGGTCATGTTATGCAAGTCTGTTCCATTTAACCGTTTACTTTGACCAAGGAAGGACCGTGTCCTTGTAAGCACGGCGCCTGGCCTTGCAAGGCATTGCCTCACACGGCCGGGCGTCTTGACATTGAGAAACACCCCCTGACTAGTGTCTTTACAGCAATCCTCATACTAAGCAAGCATGCAGCGACAGTGGAGAGGAAAACTCCCTTTTAATCAAGTAGTGTTTTCTATAGTTATATTGTGATGTCTTAGTAAATATTCTATTTGGTGAAAGATAAACTTTATTGTATTTATCCTAGTGAATCTATAATTAAATGGGTAAACTAGTAGTAGCACATCCAACGTCAAAGAGAGTGTAAAGTCCAGAAAGGGTCAATTTTGACCTGTACATTGTCCACATAGTGACTGGTCACCTAAGCCCCCATCAGACAGGCCATGAAAAACGGAAATGTTCCGGAATCTGTCCGTAAGACCTTTGTGTCCGAATACAAACATCCGGATAACGTGTTCCGAAATTTATCCGGACGAAGCCCCTAGTAACATGTCCGGACTTGTTACGGACAGGGGGGCTGCTTCAGACTGGTGAGGTAAAGTTCTGGACAAGAGGGAGGGGGAGGAGGAGGGGACCGGGGGATGCTGTGCGCACCTAGATAGCCCGCTGCTGTAGCATGCGGCGAACCACGGCAGCTCGCCTCCTACGGTACCGTCTAGACGCGCGACGGAGCGCTTCACACCGCTTCAGTGATTCCTTTAACCATTGAGCTTCATCATCCAGGTCTCTTATGCGTCTTCGTGTGCGCAGAATTATGCTTAAGCACCTCGTGATTTTTATCTTGAGAGGCGCTATAGAAATGATATTTTCTTCTTCTTAACATAAGTCCGATTCTCCACCCCCCGCCGCCGTCAGACATCTGGAACTTTTCCCTGCTGTGTGAACGCAGCCGAAAGGACAAGTTCCGGTACAAAAGTGGTGTGTCTGAAAACACAGTTCTGGTTAAAAACCGGATTGAATTGTCCACAAATGTTCCAGAATGTCTGTCTGAAAAGGGCTCTACAGACATAAGTCCACTATCCATGTGGATTCCACACGCTGAATGAAACGTGAACTTTTACAACTCATAAGTTAATCCTAAGTAATCATGTGGGTGAATGAACCAGATGTTAGATGAAATGTTTGAATAATCTGTGCCTAATTCAGTGAAGTTGAGATGAATATTGTTCTAACAATGATCCATTTACATCTTATGATCGGTACCGTTTGATTTAACAAGTGAATCATTATCTACACGCATACACTAAGTTCATTAGATGCAGATTCAGCTTAAGGCCATCTCACATACAGTTTAAAGACTCTATCTACAGAACTAGAACAGCTTGTATCTGGAAGGTGTGGTTTTCTGGGGGATGTCTGGTAACGCCTACAACAGGGTTGTTCCTGGCTCAAACTGAGGCAGAGGTGGTACCATCCTGACCGTGCACCAGCACATGCGTACTCTGTACATTCAACTGCCTCACTTTTTAAAGGCTAAATATTATAAAAGTCTCAATAATATGCATTAGATTGGTGTTTAGTTCCTTTTCCCTTCTGATATTTATAGTTAAAATTAGGGCTGCAACTAATGATTATTTTCATAATCGATTAATCTGTCGATTATTTTTTTGATTAATCGATTAATCGGTTTATTATTGTTTAGCTATTTAACCTATACAAGTGATGAATACATTTCAGTTAAGAAAAAGAAAAACATAGGAGGATTGTGCAGTTGACTGCAATCTATTTTATTGCACATGAACACAGTCAGCGGCGTAAAATGAGCTAAACAGTGCAAAATATCAGTCCAGAATAATGTTTTAGCATTAGCTGGAAGCCTGCTCCTTCCACCATGGGTAGTGGCCTCATGTCTTTTACCAGCATGTTTAGAATAGAGTTTGTAAGTGGTATGAATTGCTGGGGGGTGAGTGTCTTCTTCCCCATGTAGTTGTCCATTGTTGCTTGTTTTTTTCTGCATAAGAAACACAAATAGACTGATATAAGTACACATATAAAATAAAGCAGCACACACACTACAACACTAAATCAATATTATATTATTTGAATTAATTAACAATATACAGTGATCATTTATTTTGAGGGTTACGTTCTACAAAATAGCCCACAACAGGAGATATTCAGAAAAAAAATAAATTTTTTTTTTACTATTAAAAAGCTCTAAGTAAGAAGCTCATGAGGTTTTTACTTTGAGTCGGGAGTGTTTAAATTAGCTAGAGAAATGTGAAAAATGTTTATTTTGTGTAATACTGTTTAAGAAACATGATAAAAATGTGTTGTGAGGCGTTTTACAGCGTTAGATAGTAAAACAGCCTTTTAATAGTAAAAAATGACTTTTTCTGAATTTCTCCCGTATTTAAAAATTGAAAGCGTACAACTATGCCGCGTTATATTCACCTGGACACAGCTCGTCTGTATATTTTTCTCCGTGGAGTTGTCCATTTTTGAATGAGGAACACAGTTATGGGTTTGTGCCGTTTTTCTCTTTACGAGAACATTCTTATAAACAGACGTGCTAAATTTGGCAAGCGCATGATTCACAACACGGAGGAGATTCACGATTGCATCTAGTCAATCAGAAGTAGAACACCGTAGACTGACGCGGCAAAAAAACATGTTTAACATCCACTATAACGAACTCAGCTAAAACACGAAGTCCAGCTTGTTTATTTTCTGTTACTTACCGGGCTGGCTCTTCCAAATGACTGCTCACTTGACCGCGGTGCTCTTCCTCTGCTGCATCAGCCCCCACATGCTTTCGTCTCAAATGTGCTCCCATACTCGTGAGGTTTTTGTCCGGGGTTTCTCTTCAGTTTTGTCGCTTCTATTTTTCTTCCGTATTTCTTGTTGATCCGCCATCTCTCACAGCAAGATGAGCGTCAGTAACGTGATACGTCATGAAAACCGAGGGCACTCATTGGCTCATTTCTTCTTCTACGGCTCCACTGGTAGATCAGTGGCTCATTACTGCCACACACTGGCGGCAAATTTAACAGATTGTAACCGATGTCAGATTGTGGTAAAAATAGACGTTATGCGGTAAAATATGATTATCAAACAACTAATCGATGACTAAAAAAGTTGTTAACTATTTTTAATAATCGATTATAATCGATTAAATCGATTAGTTGTTTCAGCTCTAGTTAAAATATATTTAAATACTTGACCTACATTTCAGTAACACGTTAGGTTTGCAGGGGTGGACATTAACTTCAAAACCAACCGGCCAGCCGGGCCGGTAACTCTGAATATTTACCGGCCCCGCTGGTCAGCTGCCAAAACGAGTCAAAATAACAACTGAACCATTTTAAATGTAATAAACCTTTATTTTGTACACATTCACAAACATAATAACGTATTCTAGTTTGAATTTGTTTGTTCCCTCAACAAAACTCGATCTTGTCGTCGCATACTTCCGGCATACAACGCACCATGATCAAAGCTGACCACATATACCTTGCAGGGTTCCCCCCAGCGCTTTACAAGCCTGGCGGGCCACCAGGCTTTGCTTGCCCACCCGCCAGGCTAGGCGTCATGCCCCACCCCCCTCCCCGACCTTACCGTGTCCGCTGACACGAGCGGCGCAGCGAAACTACAGCCCTCCATCAGCTGATGCTGGTGAGAAACAGCAGTGGAACGTGTCAACCACCCCACCCCCGCTCTCACAGAGGAGCGCTGCGGGACGGAGCGCCCCCCCCCCAAACCCCCCCCAACGGCCGAAGCCGCCAGGCTTAACTCATTTTCTGGGTGAAACCACAACGTTAGCTTCTTGGAGTTCCTCGCTAAATTCCACTCTGACTTTGTTGTAGAGATCGGGTATCGCTGCTTTTGAAAAACATTTCCGTCCAGGCAGCGGTATTAATGGTGAAAGTTTTCAGCAGCCCAACAGATGACACCATTTCCTTTTAGATGTATTTAGAGACAGCCGATGTCCACCTGGGGCTGTCCTTTTCTTATTTAGTAGCTTTAGGAAGAACTCTTAGAATTTTCTGCTGCTTGATGCTTGTTGATGGAGCTGAAGTGTAGCATACTCAGTTGGATGGTGGGCAGGTAAATGCTCATGCTTCACACACAGCTGCAGAGTCTGGTTTAGGTTCTTGTTGCTCTACTGCAGGGCTTTCCTGGAGGGCCGGTATCCAGAACATTTTAGTTTTCAGGACCTTACATGGACAAGCACCATCTTACATTGGTGATCTTCTTAGTCCCTACACCCCCAGCAGGTCCCTGAGGTCCAGTGATCAAAGCCTACTGGTTGTGCAGCACCAGGCTAAAGGTCAAAGGTGACAGATCATCTGCTGCTGTGGCCCCCAGACTCTGGACCTCTCTCCCCCTGAGCCTGAGATCAGTGGACTCAGTGGTCTCCTTTAAACTCACCTGTTCAGGCTTTGGTGGGACCTTCATCACCCTCTCCTTGTTCTGCTCTTATTCCACCTGTCCCAGATCCACTGATCCCCCTATTTCCTGTTAATGTTCTCTCTCTCCCTTTCCTTACAGTTTTTTATCACAATTTTCTATTTTAAACATCTTATTTAATAATTTTTTTAAGTCTTTTTCATATTTAAAATGGTTTTGTGAAACGGATTTTCTCTTAACTCATTCGCTGCAAGCTTACCGTTTTTACTGTTTTTTTTAAGAGTCACAGAACGTTACGCGCTAGGATGATGTCATCACCAAAAAACATAATTTCATAATCCGTTGTTGAATTGTGATCGGCATCAGCTTTTCCGGTTCGCGCCTCACTTTTTTTACAGCAGCGGCCCAAAACGATCTCCTAACACGTGGATTTCTGCTTCCTGATCACGTGACGCGTGACGTATGCGGATGAAGATTGGCTTTAGAGCTGGGATGTTTGTTCTCACGGTGCGGGGGCTCGTCCGACGCCCACACAGTAAAAAAAATGCTTGACAAAAAAATGTTGACTTCAGTCGTCATTGGCAGTGAACGAGTTAAGAGGCGTTATATAAAAGATCGTGTTCCCTCCCTCGACGCCCAGACTTGAATAGCCCTGCTCTTCTGAGTAGACTCTTCTCAGGGAACCTGATGTTTGGGTCCGAGGAGTTCTTCTGTCCTTTGATGCTTGAGTGTGGTTTCTGACCTGTGACCCCTGACCCCTTTCTATCTGTCTACAGAGAGCTGTGATTGGCTGAACCCTTTTCAGGTGAATCATGATCAGGAGGTCTTTAGACCAGGAACCCATCCTTCATCCTGACCCGCCCATCAGACTTAGCCCTGCCTTCCCCGTCTCGGTTAGCCTTTCAGCCGAGCCCCAGCTGGCTAAGACCCACCCCCCCAGCCACCCTAAAAATGGTCTCCAGCCCCCCTCCATCAGCCAGCCCCTCCTCCCAGACGCACCTCCACCTGCTCATAGAGGCGGGAAGAGACGTTACTCAGTTGGTATCAATGTCAGGGGTGTGGCCAAACGGCGACGCCGTGCCAAAAGTGAGAGCCAGGCGGAGCCATTGCTGCCAAGTCACTTCCTGTTGGGGGGGAACATCTTCGACCCACTGAACCTGAACTCACTGCTGGATGAAGATGTGAACAGGTGAGACCACCTGTTCCTCAGTCAGCTGATGATGGTAATGTAACGCCTAGAATGTTCTGGTTCTGCCGGTCTTCAGACAGATCTAACCCGCTAGAACCTGGGAGGTGGAGGAGGTCTTGAAGGTCTGAAGGTTCTGGTTCTGTCCCCTCTCAGGAACACCAACCAGGAGACTCCAAAGGACTCGCCCCTGCCGTCACGCAGCAGAGACCCTGTAGAGATCCTGGTGCCTCGTGACATCACTGACCCTTTGAACCTGAAGGGAGGAGCTGAGGTAGGGGGGGCAGCAGGAGTCCTGTTGTCCCCCCTGAAGTCCAGGAGGAGACACAGGTACAGACACCATGGAGGAGGAGAGAAGGAGGCGCTCCCTGCCAGACTGTTCCTGCCCACAGCTGGATTCTCAGGTGAGTCACCTGCATCATTACCTGTGCCCACCACAGGGGACAGTGTGTCCTCATCCTGTTGTTTCTACTGTATTTCCTGTTCTGACCACAGGGGGCAGTGTTTCAGCATCTCCTCTCACCTGTGAACTCAACACCACCATCACCTGTCGAGAAGACGTGGCCCCGCCTCCTGTCCTACCCCGGAGACACACCCACCCACCACCTGGCCCAACCCACAAACCTGCGAACCAGCGACGACGAAGACGTACCACCTCTGCCAAATCAGCTGATGGTGCAACAGACTTTGTCACCACGGCAACCACATCTCTGCCGACCAAGTTTCAGACACCGCTAGTGGGAGGGGCTAAAGCTGTCAGGTGAGTGTCACACCTGAAGTAAGATAGAACTCTGATCTGGTTGGAAGTTGGGGTCACATGACCGTGGGTTTCCTCTGCAGGTGTGCAGGATCTCACCTGGGCTCTGTTCGGACACCAGGGGAGAAGACAAAGGACAGGCACCGGTACCAGTACGGTAACCACTGCAGTTTCTATGGTTACCATGGTTTCTATGGTGACCAGTATGAAGGGCGAGTCGGTGCAGAGGAGGACCTGAGGCCCCACCTCCTTGAAGCTGATTGGTTCAGAGACAAGAGGGTGCTAGACATCGGCTGTGGCACTGGTCACCTGACTCTGACCATTGCTCGAAGGTTCAACCCCACCCACATACTGGGGGTGGAGCTACATGACCGACTGGTGCACGCAGCAAGGCAGAACATTAGGCACTTCCTGTCACATGACCTGGTTGTTGAGGACAGAGGGAGGAAAAAAAGGGAGGAAGTGATGGAAGAGGTACAGCAGGCTCTCTCTCTCCCCCCCTTTCCCTTGTCCTTCAGGGTGAGTCGAGGTCCACTTGTGGCTCCACCCCTCTCCCTGCCTTCATCCACCTCTTCTTCCAGGTTCCCCAACAACGTCACCTTCATTCAGGTGAGTCCTCTCTTGTCCTTTTCTAGGTGTGTTCTGTTGGGTGGATGTCAGACTTCCAACCTGTTTTTATTACATCTGGTCTATTCCACCTGTATCGGTTCCCCTTGGTCCGGTCCACCTGTATCGGTTCCCCTTGGTCCGGTCCACCTGTATCGGTTCCCCTTGGTTCAGTCCACCTGTATCCGTTCCCCTTGGTCCAGTCCACCTGTATCCGTTCCCCTTGGTCCGGTCCACCTGTATCAGTTCTCCTCGGTCCGGTCCGCCTGTATCGGTTCCCCTTGGTCCGGTCCACCTGTATCCTTTCCCCTTGGTTCAGTTCACCTGTATCCTTTCCCCTTGGTCCGGTCCACCTGTATCTATTCCCCTTGGTTCAGTCCACCTGTATCCGTTCCCCTTGATTCAGTCCACCTGTATCTATTCCCCTTGGTCTGGTCCACCTGTATCGGTTCTCCTTGGTCCGGTCCACCTGTATCGGCTCCCCTTGGTCCGGTCCACCTGTATCCTTTCCCCTTGGTTCAGTCCACCTGTATCCGTTCCCCTTGATTCAGTCCACCTGTATCAGTTCTCCTCGGTCCGGTCCACCTGTATCGGTTCCCCTTGGTTCGGTCCACCTGTATCTGTTCCCCTTGGTTCAGTCCACCTGTATCCGTTCCCCTTGGTTCAGTCCACCTGTATCCGTTCCGCTTGGTTCGGTCCACCTGTATCCGTTCCGCTTGGTTCGGTCCACCTGTATCCGTTCCGCTTGGTTCGGTCCACCTGTGTAGAAGAATACATTCGTTAATTATGACCAATAAGATGTGATGATTCCATATAAATATGAAATATCAACCTGATTGATCTTTGAATGTTTAATCAGAAGATTCTAGGGTTCTCTGCTTCTTCAGGGACAATAAACACACTTCGAATTAATTCAGACAGAGTCAGTATGTACAGGGGGCAAAAAGTATTTAGTCAGCCACCGATTGTACAAGTTCTCCCACTTAAAATGATGACAGAGGTCAGTAATTTTCATCATAGGTACACTTCAACTGTGAGAGACAGAATGTGAAAAAAAAATCCATGAATTCACATGACAGGATTTTTAAAGAATTTATTTGTAAATCAGGGTGGAAAATAAGTATTTGGTCACTTCAAACAAGGAAAATCTCTGGCTCTCACAGACCTGTAACGTCTTCTTTAAGAAGCTTTTCTGTCTTCCACTCGTTATCTGTATTAATGGCACCTGTTTGAACTCGTTATCTGTATAAAAGACACCTGTCCACAGCCTCAAACAGTCAGACTCCAAACTCCACTATGGCCAAGACCAAAGAGCTTTCGAAGGACACCAGGAAAAGAATTGTAGACCTGCACCAGACTGGGAAGAGTGAATCTACAATAGGCAAGCAGCTTGGTGTGAAAAAATCAACTGTGGGAGCAATTATCAGAAAATGGAAGACATACAAGACCACTGATAATCTCCCTCGATCTGGGGCTCCACGCAAGATCTCATCCCGTGGGGTCAAAATGATCATGAGAACGGTGAGCAAGAATCCCAGAACCACACGGGGGGACCTGGTGAAGGACCTGCAGAGGGCTGGGACCACAGTAACAAAGGTCACCATCAGTAACACACTACAACGGCAGGGAATCAAATCCTGCAGTGCCAGACATGTTCCACTGCTGAAGCCAGTGCATGTCCAGGCCTGTCTGAAGTTTGCCAGAGAGCACATGGATGATACAGCAGAGGATTGGGAGAAGGTCATGTGGTCAGATGAAACCAAAGTAGAACTTTTTGGTACAAACTCAACTCGTCGTGTTTGGAGGAAGAAGAATACTGAGTTGCATCCCAAGATCACCATACCTACTGTGAAGCATGGGGGTGGGAACATCATGCTTTGGGGCTGTTTTTCTGCTAAGGGGACAGGACGACTGATCCGTGTTAAGGACAGAATGAATGGGGCCATGTATCGTGATATTCTGAGCCAAAACCTCCTTCCATCAGTGAGAGCTTTGAAGATGAAACGTGGCTGGGTCTTCCAACACGACAATGATCCCAAACACACCGCCCGGGCAACAAAGGAGTGGCTACGTAAGAAGCATTTGAAAGTCCTGGAGTGGCCTAGCCAGTCTCCAGACCTCAACTCCATAGAAAATCTGTGGAGGGAGTTGAAAGTCCGTGTTGCTCGGCGACAGCCCCAAAACATCACTGCTCTCGAGAAGATCTGCATGGAGGAATGGGCCAAAATACCAGCTACTGTGTGTGCAAACCTGGTAAAGACCTATAGTAATTGTTTGACCTCTGTTATTGCCAACAAAGGTTATGTTACAAAGTATTGAGTTGAATTTTTGTTATTGACTAAATATTTATTTTCCACCCTGATTTACAAATAAATTCTTTAAAAATCCTGCCATGTGAATTCATGGATTCCTTCTCACATTCTGTCTCTCACAGTTGAAGTGTACCTATGATGTAAATTACTGACCTCTGTCATCATTTTAAGTGGGAGAACTTGCACAATCGGTGGCTGACTAAATACTTTTTTTCCCCACTCTAGTTAATAAAATGAATTTAATCATTTTTCCTAAACTAATGATACATGACAAGATATGAATAATGAGGTGTGGTGTGGTGGATGTGAGGTGTTGTGAAGCTAGATGTTTAGCAAAACCATCTTTGTATCTGAGAGAAAATATGAAGACTGGGTTATAAAAGAATTTGTTGTTTATAACTAGAGTTGTTTATTTATATAAACCTCATCAGACACCAGTATGCAGGCTTATGATACCCTGGTATGAGTTGCATTCGGCGGTCCGGCAGGGTGCGGCCAAAGTGGTGAGGTCACCGGACGTCGAAACCACGATACCCAGAGATTAGTAGCTTCCTCTGAGTTCAGCTTCACCGGCCATGAGATGCAACTCGGGCTCTGCAGGTCAGGTGTCTCAGGTGTGACGTAGCTCTGAAAAGAGCTGTTGTGTCTGTAATCGCAGCGTCGCAGAGAGGCTGACAGGAGGTCATAGGAGTTTGTTTCAAAAGAGGCTTCTTTCCTGATTTGGCCGAATCGGGGGTCAGTTGGAAACTGAATTAATCAGGAAGTAAATCCTGTTTTAATAAACTCATTATTTATCATTTCTGCCGTATTCTGGCAAATCAGAATGTGCCATGTCTGGAAGGCTTTACCAAAACATTATTTAGAAAGCCACGCCTTCTTCAGATACAAAGATGTTTTAACACTGTTGATGAGAATGTTCAAAACTCTTATGTGCGGTGCATTTTAACCTTAATGAGTATCTTATTGTAATGTGTATGAGTGTAAACAGTGATTAACTTGTTAACTCAACATATACTGATCATAAGATCTGAAATGGATCATTGTAAGAACAATATTCATTTTAAATCCATTGATTTAAGTACCTCTCCCTGGGCTGTCACCTTACCGTGGTGGAGGGGTTTGAGTGTCTCAATGATCCTAGGAGCTAAGTTGTCTGAGGCTTTCTGCCTCTGGTAGGGTCACCCATGGCAAACAGGTCCTAGGTGAGGGATCAGACAAAGAGCAGCCCGAAGATCTCTTATAATGAATTATATAAATGGAAACCTAGTTCCCTCGCCCGGACGTGGGTCACCCAGGCCCCTCTCTGGAGCCAGGCCTGGAGGTGGGGCATTGGCGAGCGCCTGGTGGCCGGGCTTTTACCCATGGAGCCCCGCTGGGCACAGCACGAAGAGGAAACATGGGTCCCCCTTCCTATGGGCTCACCACTCATGGGAGGGGCCAAAGGGATCGGGTGCAGTGTGTGACGGGTGGTAGTCGAGGGTGGGGACCTTGGTGGTCTGATCCTCGGCTACAGAAGCTGGCTCTTGGCACATGGAATGTCACCTCTTTGGTGGGGAAGGAGCCTGAGTTGGTGTGTGAGGTTGAGAGGTTCCAACTAGATATAGTCGGACTCACCTCAACGCATGGCTCTGGCTCTGGAACCAGTTTCCTTGAGAAGGGTTGGACTTTCTACCACTCTGGAGTTGCTCCCACTGAGAGGTGCCGAGCAGGGGTGGCCATACTAGTTGCCCCCATCTTGGTGCCTGTACGTTGGGGTTTACCCCAGTGAATGAGAGGGTAGCGTCCCTCCACCTACGTGTGGGGGGACGGGTTCTGACTGTGGGCTGTGCTTGTACACCAAACTACAGTTCAGACTACCCACCCTTTTTGGAGACCTTGGAGGGGGTGCTGGAGAGCGCTCCTTCCAGTGACTCCCTCGTTCTGCTGGGGGACTTAAACGCTCACGTGGGCAACGACAGTGAGACCTGGAGAGGTGTGATTGGGAGGAACGGCCCCCCTGATCTGAATTCGAGTGTTTTGTTATTGGACTTCTGTGCCAGTCATGGATTGTCCATAATGAACACCATGTTCAGACATAAAGGTGTCCATATGTGCTCTTGGCACCAGGATACCTTAGGCCACAGCTCGATGATCGACTTTGTTGTTTCGTCTGACCTGCGGCCGCATGTCTTGGACACTCGGGTGAAGAGAGGGGCGGAGCTGTCAACTGACCACTACCTGGTGGTGAGTTGGCTCAGATGGTGAGGGAGGATGCCGGTCAGACCAGGCAGACCCAAACGTATCGCGAGGGTCTGCTGGGAACGTCTGGCAGAGTCTCCTGTGAGAAGGAGCTTCAATTCCCACCTCCGACAGAACTTCCAAAATGTTCCGGGGGAGGCGGGGGACATTGAGTCTGAATGGACCCTGTTCCGTACCTCCATTGTTGAGGCGGCCAACCGGAGCTGTGGTCGCAGGATCGTCGGTGCCTGTCTTGGTGGCAACCCCCGAACCCGCTGGTGGACACCGGCGGTTAGGGATGCTGTCAAGCTGAAGGAAGAGTCCTATCAGGTCTTTTTGGCCTGTGGGACTCCAGAGGCAGTCCAAGCGGAACGCGGCTCGGGTGGTCGCCAAGGCAAAATCCAGGCATGGGAGGAGTTCAGTGAGTAGAGAGTGGGGAATGCAGCAGCCAGGCTCCTGCATCAGACCTTGGGTGAGAACGTTTTGTCTTGGATGTAAACAAGAACTGAGCAGAACCTTCTGGATTTGGAGGCCTGACAGATAGTGGGTTTATGTCTGTAAATGAAAGGTTATCTTGTGGACAACTAGATGGTGAAAAATTGCCCCTTTTGTACGTTTCATGTGTATCAGTTCTCCCTAGTCTGGTCCAGTCCATGAGGTCCACCTGGTCCAGTCCATGAGGTCCACCTGGTCCAGTCAAAGTCCAGGTAACATCAGATAAGACTACCTCCTCCCAGCAGCCTCATGCTTGACTCAGAACCTTCACCACAACAGATAAAGTTCAGGGGTTGCTAGAGATAACCTTTTTCCAGAAGAACCTACTATTGACGGTGGCACAGGAGTTAAGTGATCGGAAGGTTGCAGGTTCGAGCCCCGCTCAGACTGACGCTGTCGTTGTGTCCTTGGGCAAGACACTTAACCCACCTTGCCTGCTGGTGGTGGTCGGAGGGACCGGTGGTACCAGTGATCAGCAACCTCGCCTCTGTCAGTGCGCCCCTGGGCAGCTGTGGCTACATGGTAGCTCATCACCACCTGGCTGTGATATTTGTGTGTGAATGGATGAATGCCTGATAGTATTGTAAAGCACCTTGGGGAGTTCCAGGACTATAGAAGGCGCTAGATCAAATCCAGGCCATTTACTATTGGCTTTACTTGGTTTGGCTTGGTTCCAAATAGGGATGAACAATTTCAGAGGGTGAGGGGTGATGTGTGTTTGTTTAGTCATGTGACACTCATTTGAATCATCTCAGAAGCATAAGGTGTGTGTACACAATAATGTAAATTCAGCTGTAATAATTCTATACAACACCTGTGGATTTTAGAAGCATTAATGTCAGTACATTGGTATCTGCAAATATGTTATCGGCCATAACAGTGATCTCTATGTCGGATATTGGTATCGACACAAACATTTCATATCGGTGCATCACTAGCTCCAAGCCGTTTCCATAAATAATGGGTACCACATTAGCCTGGCAAGCCAGACTAAATAAATGTATTATTTAGTCTGGCCATGCTCCATTGACGGCTCTCGGTTGTGGGGCGGGTTCTACCGTTGTCTTTCAAATGATCTCCGCATTCCACTGGACAATGAATGTGACATACTCTTGTTTCACTCCGTTGCATCATCCCACCCACCAGTCATATAGAGTGCCCTGATTGGCCCACAAAGCAGATAAAGCTCTGTGATTTGTTCACTAAGCAGATAGAGCACTATGATTGGCCCACCATTATGGACCAATCACAGCTCTTTATGTGTTTGAAACCCCTCTAGAGAGCTGTGATTGGCCAGCCAGAGTCCTGGTAGGAGCTGCTGAGGTTCCAATGGAGCGTGCCTAGACCATTCTTTGCAAAGCAAGAATTTGGTCTAGTTCACTAGGCTAGTACCACATTGCTGTAACGTCAAAGACTGTCGGTCACTGATTGGCCAGGCAGCAGGGTCACAGGCTGGCTAAGAGTCGGGGTTACAGATTGGCTAGGAGGACCCCTGATTGCTCCAGGGTGTTCTGCCTTGCTTGCCTCTTCGTGTCTCGTCTGACTAAAGTCCACTGACTAAGTCAAATCTGCTTAGAGTTGAAGGAGTGGCAGAGAACCAGGAACCTGATTCAGTGGCTGTCTTTGGGTACACCAATATGAACCGATCCCGTAGTGTACAGGGGCTTGAACCCAGACCAGAAGATGTCGCATTCATTGTTGAACCCATGGAAGGAGTGGGAGACTATCGACATCCAAACCCAGCGTGACTCGATGTTTAAAGACCGATGGAGCTACACCTGAGTAAACAGTTATTCTGTTCCACCCACCCCCACCCCACAGCTATGTAACACAGTAGCTCCCTGTCTCCTGTAGACGTCATGAATGGATAAAATTTACCCAGGGCAAAGGTCAAAGAAGGGCAGTCCTTTGATGAGAATCTTCACTGTCTCTCTGTTCCATGTGTTTTTATTTTATTGTTCATTCTTTAGAGCGGTTGGGTGGGTGGGCGGGCCTTATATCTCAGGGTTTCCCCCAGCTCTTTATAAGCCGGACGACCAACGGTAACGAAACGACCCCCGCGCCCTGCCGCTAGGCTCAGCAAGAGCTCTGGGGGCACCTGTATCTGCTTCATAAACTGTTGAAACTTGGCTTCAAACTGCAGGTGATCTCCATGGTAACTGCTTTACCTTTGTGACTCCTCCCACAGGGCAGTTATGTGTCAGAGGGGGTAACCTGGCCTGGGCAGGGTCAGTATGATGTCATCATGTGTCTGGGTGTGACCAAGTGGGTACAGCTTCAGTCAGGTGATGGAGGCGTGGCCAAACTGTTCAAAAGAGCCTATCAGAGCCTTTCTCCAGGTGGATTGTTCATCCTTGAGCCACAACCATGGAGGAGCTACAGTCACAGCAAGAAGGCCTCGGTAACACACCCACTACACAACTAACGCACGCCTGCTACATAACCAAGACACACCTGCTACACGACAGACACAACATCTGCTACATCAACAAGACACACCTGCTACACGACAGACACGACACCTGCTGCATAACCAAGACACACGTGCTACACGACAGACACAACACCTGCTGCATAACCAAGACACACCTGCTACATAACCAAGACACACCTGCTACACGACAGACACAACACCTGCTGCATAACCAAGACACACCTGCTACATAACCAAGACACACCTGCTACACGACAGACACAACACCTGCTGCATAACCAAGACACACCTGCTACATAACCAAGACACACCTGCTACACGACAGACACAACACCTGCTGCATAACCAAGACACACCTGCTACATAACCAAGACACACCTGCTACACGACAGACACAACACCTGCTACATAACCAAGACACACGTGCTACACGACAGACACAACACCTGCTACATAACCAAGACACACCTGCTACACGACAGACACAACACCTGCTACATAACCAAGACACACCTGCTACACGACAGACACAACACCTGCTGCATAACCAAGACACACCTGCTACATAACCAAGACACACCTGCTACACGACAGACACGACACCTGCTACATAACCAAGACACACCTGCTACACGACAGACACAACACCTGCTGCATAACCAAGACACACCTGCTACATAACCAAGACACACCTGCTACACGACAGACACAACACCTGCTGCATAACCAAGACACACCTGCTACATAACCAAGACACACCTGCTACACGACAGACACAACACCTGCTGCATAACCAAGACACACCTGCTGCATAACCAAGACACACGTGCTACACGACAGACACAACACCTGCTGCATAACCAAGACACACCTGCTGCATAACCAAGACACACCTGCTGCATAACCAAGACACACCTGCTGCATAACCAAGACACACCTGCTGCATAACCAAGACACACGTGCTACACGACAGACACAACACCTGCTGCATAACCAAGACACACCTGCTGCATAACCAAGACACACCTGCTGCATAACCAAGACACACGTGCTACACGACAGACACAACACCTGCTGCATAACCAAGACACACCTGCTACACGACAGACACAACACCTGCTGCATAACCAAGACACACCTGCTACATAACCAAGACACACCTGCTACACGACAGACACAACACCTGCTACATAACCAAGACACACCTGCTACATAACCAAGACACACCTGCTACACGACAGACACAACACCTGCTGCATAACCAAGACACACCTGCTACATAACCAAGACACACCTGCTACACGACAGACACAACACCTGCTGCATAACCAAGACACACCTGCTACACGACAGACACAACACCTGCTGCATAACCAAGACACACCTGCTACACGACAGACACAACACCTGCTGCATAACCAAGACACACCTGCTATACGACAGACACAACACCTGCTGCATAACCAAGACACACCTGCTATACGACAGACACAACACCTGCTGCATAACCAAGACACACCTGCTATACGACAGACACAACATCTGCTGCATAACCAAGACACACCTGCTATACGACAGACACAACACCTGCTGCATAACCAAGACACACCTGCTATACGACAGACACAACATCTGCTGCATAACCAAGACACACCTGTTACATAATCAAGACACACCTGCTACACCACAGACACAACACTTGCTATACAAGTAGAGATGTCCCGATCAGGTTTTTTTGCCCTCGAGTCCGAGTCACTTGATTTTTAGAATGTGCCGATACCAAGTCCCGATCCGATACTTTTGATACATAAAAAAATAAGAAAAGGAAGAAACAGTTCCAGAATGTTCCTTATGTTTTATTTAATTACCTTTTTATTTTAATTTTCAACAACAGATCACTGCTGTGAGGTAGCGTGAACAATCAAGTAATAAATAACATCAATTCTTCACTTTTGGACTTTATTGCAAATATAAAAAGTCTAATATAAAAACAGAGAGCACTTCAACTTAAAATACCTGGCAGGGGTCTATTCTGCCTCGGCCCCCAAAATGCTTAGATACGCCCCTGGGCATGGGACGAAGTTTGGAAGATGATCTGGATTGTATCATCTATATAAATACTACATGCTGATAAATGATTGCTTTATACGGGTACACACGTGTAGTGGGATCAGTCTACCTACATTTTATTTTGTTAAGAACTTTGTTTTGTTTTCTTGGTTTTTATTTTCCTGTCTTCCTGTCCCGTCTGTCTCTGATCTTCCTGTCCCGTCTGTCTCTGATCTTCCTGTCCCGTCTGTCTCTGGTCTTCCTGTCCCGTCTGTCTCTGATCTTCCTGTCCCGTCTGTCTCTGGTCTTCCTGTCCCGTCTGTCTCTGATCTTCCTGTCCCGTCTGTCTCTGATCTTCCTGTCCTGTCTGTCTCTGATCTTCCTGTCCCGTCTGTCTCTGGTCTTCCTGTCCCGTCTGTCTCTGATCTTCCTGTCCCGTCTGTCTCTGGTCTTCCTGTCCCGTCTGTCTCTGATCTTCCTGTCCCGTCTGTCTCTGACCTTCCTGTCCCGTCTGTCTCTGACCTTCCTGTCCCGTCTGTCTCTGGTCTTCCTGTCCCGTCTGTCTCTGATCTTCCTGTCCTGTCTGTCTCTGATCTTCCTGTCCCGTCTGTCTCTGGTCTTCCTGTCCCGTCTGTCTCTGGTCTTCCTGTCCCGTCTGTCTCTGATCTTCCTGTCCCGTCTGTCTCTGGTCTTCCTGTCCCGTCTGTCTCTGGTCTTCCTGTCCCGTCTGTCTCTGGTCTTCCTGTCCCGTCTGTCTCTGATCTTCCTGTCCCGTCTGTCTCTGACCTTCCTGTCCCGTCTGTCTCTGACCTTCCTGTCCCGTCTGTCTCTGGTCTTCCTGTCCCGTCTGTCTCTGGTCTTCCTGTCCCGTATGTCTCTGGTCTTCCTGTCCCGTATGTCTCTGGTCTTCCTGTCCCGTCTGTCTCTGATCTTCCTGTCCCGTCTGTCTCTGGTCTTCCTGTCCCGTATGTCTCTGGTCTTCCTGTCCCGTCTGTCTCTGATCTTCCTGTCCCGTCTGTCTCTGATCTTCCTGTCCTGTCTGTCTCTGAACTTCCTGTCCCGTCTGTCTCTGATCTTCCTGTCCTGTCTGTCTCTGATCTTCCTGTCCCGTCTGTCTCTGAACTTCCTGTCCCGTCTGTCTCTGGTCTTCCTGTCCCGTATGTCTCTGGTCTTCCTGTCCCGTCTGTCTCTGATCTTCCTGTCCCGTCTGTCTCTGATCTTCCTGTCCTGTCTGTCTCTGATCTTCCTGTCCCGTCTGTCTCTGATCTTCCTGTCCTGTCTGTCTCTGATCTTCCTGTCCCGTCTGTCTCTGATCTTCCTGTCCTGTCTGTCTCTGAACTTCCTGTCCCGTCTGTCTCTGATCTTCCTGTCCTGTCTGTCTCTGATCTTCCTGTCCCGTCTGTCTCTGACCTTCCTGCATCTCCCAGTCCTCCAGAAAGACTCCTGCCTGCTTCCTTCTTTTTCACCTCACAGGTAACTTTTTAACCAGCAGATCAAATTGATCTATTGACCCCACAAAAAGCGGAGTGTGCGCTGCCCGGCTGCGCCAGTGACGAGCGCTGCAGCGCGAGCGCGTCCACACGTCGTGCTCAAACACAGGCAGAACTTACCAGAGAGAAGATGAACGGACACGAATGACTGTGTGTTAATTATATATTTTTTGGTGACGCTACTTAGAAACTTAGAACATGTTACTGTGGCCGTGTACAGAACGCAGCTGGAGTTCATGAATAATCAGCGGTCTGCCTGCCGCGCTGCTCAGAAGAATCCCCGCTACGCTGAGTCCATGGCAATAATATAATATAGGTAGAAACAGGATCTCTTTTGTGCTCCTTCTGGGTGTGTAAGTTAAAGGGACTTTACGGAGTTTTGAATTTTTATGCTCGTGATTGCCCCCTCAGGCCAAAAGCGTAACGGCAGCTTCCAACTCAACCTCTCTAAAACTGAACTACTTGTCATCCCAGCAAAACCATCCATACAGCACAATATCTCAATCCAGAATGACTTCCTATCTCTGGCTCCTTCAAAGGCAGTTGGAAATCTGGGTGTTGTGATTGATGAACACCTGAGCTTTAAAGATCACGTTGCCTCTGTTGCTCGTTCATGCCGCTTTGCGCTGTATAACCTACGAAAGATCAGACCATACCTAACACAACATGCCACCCAGCTCCTGGTGCAATCTACTGTCATCTCCCGCCTCCATTACTGCAACGCCCTTCTAACTGGTCTTCCAGGCTGTACTGTGAGACCTCTTCAAATGGTCCAGAACGCAGCGGCGTGTCTGGTCTTCAATCAGCCTAAAAGAGCACACGTCACCCCTCTGTTCATTGAGCTCCACTGGCTACCGCTAGCAGCACGCATCAAATTCAAATTGCTAACACTAGCATACAAAGTCCGAGACGGTACGGCTCCCATCTACCTGAATCCTCTTGCAAAGGCTTACGTCTCGGCCCGGCCGCTCCGGTCATCACAGGATGGTCGGCTAGCAGTGCCTACACCACGCTCAGGACCATCCAGACTCTTCTCATGCATCGTTCCACAAATGTGGAATGACCTTCCAAGCACTACCAGAACTGCGGCTTCCTTTTCTATTTTCAAGAAACTCCTGAAGACCCTGCTCTTCAGAGAGCATCTTCTAAACTAGCACCCTCCCTGCACCCGTCCCCCCTCTCTACTGTCCACTCCTTGTTCCCTCCTCTCCAAGACTGATGTCAATTTGTTGTTGTTACTATTGTTGTTAGCCTCAAGGGCAAAATGCAGATTATCACTTGTAAGTCGCTTTGGACAAAAGCGTCTGCTAAATACATAAACATAAACATAAACATAAACAATAGTAGGCTCGTGCATGAGGTGCGCATGCTGTACGTGCACACTCCTTAACGAAAATAACAGCTGAGACAGTCCCGTGTGTGTGTGGC